CGCATCTGTGCCCACAGACTTCTCATGATCCCTTCATCGAGGGATTACAGTGCCCTCCCACCCACCCCCGCACTCCATGCCTACAGCCCGGCACCCCATCACGGTCAGGGCACCTCGGCCTCACTGGGCAGTTGGCATCGCCTCCTCCAGGAAGCTTTCCCTGCCCTCCCAGGCTGGTTGTGGTCTCGGGATCCTGCCCCTGCCTGTCAGTGCCCAGCGGTGGCCACCATCCTCTACATCCCACACAGCGGAGATGTCCCTGCCCGGGCACTCACAGGCAGTGAGTGGGCTCCTCAGGGCCAGCCCGTATGGGACTTCACACAGCGGTCCCCCAGGGGTGGGCTTGCTGTTGGGCCTCACTCTGGCTCTGAGCATCTCAGGGCAGGCCCACTGTGGGGGTTCACCCAGCACTGCTCACCCAGGGTTCTCGAGGGGTGTGTGTGCAGGATTGGGGTGGGATCGATGATCCTGACACTGTGCAATTCAGGCCCCTGGGGTGGAGTGGGGACCTGAGGTGGGCAGTATGGGGGGAGCCCCCACCCGAGAGGCCCAGTGCCAGGGTGAACCCTTGGAGCCTGCCTCCAAGGAACCTGGGCAGACCGTGCTGGGAGAACCCCACGCTGAGCCTGTTACCTGCCCCCCACAGGGTCCTGAGTGCAGGTTGGGTGCTAAGAGTCAGCCTCTTTGTTAAGCTCGAAAGGACAGGTCACTTGGACCCTAGTATTTGAAACCGACATGAAAATGTGCACGGAACACGAACAGTTGAGATCCACCCCGAGGCTCGGGAGAGAGGCCCGGTGATCTGCTCATGAGAAATCCACCACAGAAGACCCTGGGGAGCTCAGCCCGAGCCCGAATGCCCAGAAGGCATGGGCTCGGCAGGAGCTGGAAGCAGCCCACAGGAACTGGTCTGGGTTTGGGGTGATCTGGGACTTTCCATGCGCTTAGATCTCTGGACACGCGGAAAGAGCCCCAGAGACAGGCGTCAAACACCCAGAGACCACCAGTCACCCTACGCAGCAGTCCAGACCCAAGCGATCCAAACCAAAGCGGCGGCCACCAAGCCCCTGCTCCCCCTCCCGGCGGCCCTACAGGGCTGTGTGGAGCTGGACCCGCGGGGCGCCCAGGCTGCCCTCTCTCGGTGAGCAGACTGCCCTCTCTGTCTTTGGCATCTGTTGGTTACACCAAACACGGCCACGGTGCTGATTCCAGCCCAGAGGGACCCTGTAGCACCGACTTCTGAACCCGTGACTGGAGCTGCTGATCTTGTGGCCCCCCACCCCAAGTTCTCTCCTGACCCTGGGTAAGAAGGGTGCTGCTGTCAGATCTGCCACTCCAGGACCCAGGCATCCTGACCCACACCTGCAGATGCAAAGGGGCAAGACACCAAGAGGCCTTGCCTCCCACAAAGGAGGGTGCCCTCCAGTGCAACAGAAATTCAGAGGGCAAGCACGGCAGGGGCAAGTCTGGTCAAGGCCCGACAAGGAGGGCACAGGTTGGCAGCAAGGCATGGGGCGTAAACACAGGTGTGCACATAGGTAAATATACTAATCCATACAAATAGAGATATTGGCCTATGTACATATATTTATATGGCAATACGTTGAGAAAGTAGATGGGGGGAGGGGTGTGCGCAGGGGGTCATGGGTACCAGGAGGGGCATGGGCAGTGTGGGGTATGTGCTAGCAGAGGGAAGATGGGGGACAGGGGACATGAGGCGGCAGGAGGATATGGGTGATGGGTACATGGGAGCATGGGGCAGTGGGGGACATGGTGGGCGGGGTGGCTTGAGAGCACAGCGGGGTTACCTTACTCTGCCTCATACGGAGCTGAGCTGTCTGGGGTGTGGAGGGAGGGAGCGGGCTCACACTGGCAGGAAGGAGTGGGCAGCACTTGAAGATGATCTCTAGCCACTCTCCGGGGGTGAGGGCTCCCCAGCACCGTCTGCTTTGGCAACTGGCACACACGGCAGCCCCGGCACAGCGGGGCAACACTCAGCTAGATCGGCAGGCCTTGCTTCCTGGTCTCAGAGAGGGCACTCAGCATGCAGCCCAGAAGCACACAGGCCTACCCTGATGGATGTGTGCTAACTGAGCATGCACACTGGCTGTGCCTGGAACATGATTTTAACCCGGAGGCCCCACTGGCCCTGAACCACCCTCTGGGCCTCTTCCAGGTAAGCACTCCAGGTTAGGCCTGTCCCAACCCCCAGCTGAGGAGACGAAGCCAGTGAGTCCCTCAGAACCGCCTCACGGGGCACAGGGAGAGTCACCTGCACGTGACCGGGCAGCAGGCAGATCCTGCAGGTGATGGCCCAAAGGCCGAGACCTGGAGGGCCCTGGGCACCCGGAGCCCCAGCCCTGCCCTCTGGTCTCTTCAGGAACGAAATGGAAATGGCTGTGTGAGCTGACATCCCAGGCCCAGGGGCAAAGGAAAGCCAAGCACCCTGGTGAGTTGGAGAAGGCGCAGGTAACTCCACAGTGGCAGGTGTCTGGGGCGCGGCTTCTTAGGTAGGGCAGGTGTCCTTTCTGGAAGGCAGGTGGGGCTGCCTGGAGGATGCCACACTCCCCAAGCCTCAGCTGGAGCGGAACTCCCAGATCCCCGTCTCTAGTGGCGGGCGAGGCGCGGGGGCAGCAGAGTCCAGCCCAGCGTCCCTTGGTGGCCTGAGAAGGACCCTGTGCGCAGGCCGGCACACCCACCACAAAGCCTGCAGGAAGAGGTGTGGACATTTTTACTTTGAGTTCCTCCGGTCCCAGTTGGGGAGCTGATTTTGAACACCACCCCCTCAACAGCCTCTGCATGGGGTGGGGGCGAGAGGGAGGAGATGAGTCCTGGCTACCGGCCAGCTCCTCTGAAGACAGGGCGTATTTCCTGTTCAGGACAGCGGTGCCGGGGGCGGCTCGAGAGAGGCGCTGCGCAGGCAGGCATTCACAACACTTCAAATAAAGGGAGGACGGGGAGCTGCTGCCACCACCAGGGCTCAGCGCCCCGTCCTGACTGAGCTGAGCATGCTCAGCTTCCGAGGGTGGAGAGAGGAGGAGGGCGTCCACGCCGAGGGGCCAGTCTGACACACACAGGAGAGAAGAGAGAAGCCACCACCTGGGGACACAGTGGGGCCCCACGCTTCAATAACAGCTAACACATCAGGTGGAGTCCTGGTGGCCCAGTGGTTTACGCACTGGACTGCTAACCACAGGTGAGAAGTTTGAAACCACC